GCTAATTATAAAGGAGGATGGAATACATAGCCCTTTGGCTGGGTACAGTGTCACTGTGAATACATTAAGGTTTCCTAAGGAAGAATGGAAATAGGTATCTTGCTTAGACAAGTAGCAGTCTCTTCACAGTGCACTCCTTGGCTCCCTAGTATGCTTGGGCGTTGTTCTCTGTGGCATCCGATTTGCCCTCTGCAAGGTCCTTCTTCACCATAATCCTCCGCCACTTTCCTCCACGTCTGTATCCAAGGTGGCATTGATCACTGCTCTCTTCTTGGGGCTTCAAGCTTTACAGCATACTTCCTGTGGGGGGCTGGGAGGCCAGGGGGTTCTTTGCTTTGATCATCAACAGGCTGTTAATAGATTAATGGATAAGAAAAACTCAAAGTTGTTTTTTCTTTTCTCTTACATACTCTTGACCCCAAATATAGGATATAAAAAAAAAAAAAACCTGAACTGTTTTTATTCCTGTCCTCTCCTCTCACATAGTCACACAAAATGGTACTTTTGGCACCAGATGTATGGGGGTTTGTCCCCACACACCGAGAAATTCTCCTGCAGATTCTGCAGAGGATTCTGCAGCACACACCAGCTGGGTGTCCTCTAATTCAATTTAATTCCAACACTATCTACCTGGAGATAGCAGCAGACCCCACAGGTTGAGGGCTCAGTCCCACAAGACTGCCCCCCACTTCAGACCCTGTCACAAGGAGTAGGTTGTCATCTACACCTCTGACTGGCTACAAATCAGGGTTCCAACAACGCCCTCCTGGGATTAGATTAGTTTGCTAAAGTGACTCACAGAACTCAGGTAAATACCTCACTTGTGTTTACCAGTTTATTATAAAGGCTACTGTAAAGAATACAGATGAAGAGATGCACAGGGTGAGGCATTGACGCAGGAGGTGTTCAAATGGAGGAAAGAAAAGCTCCTCGAACTAGCCAAGTGGGTTCTTGGCTTTGCGCAGGAAAGAATTCAAGTGTGAGCCAACCAGCAACAGGAAAGTTTACCGAGACAGAGACAGACAACAGATCCCACTCCACAGAGAGAGTATCAGTCTTCTCCTAAGCAGGAGGGGCAATGATAACCCCTTCTCCTAACCCCTTTTGGGGTAATGATAACATTTTTTATGTGTAAAAGTCCTGTTGGGAAACAGCCATACAAACAAGCATTGTCTTGTAGTCAGGCTGTAAATTTAATCATAAACTGCTGTCGCAGAATGGTACATGCAAGTAGTTTGTAAGGCAGTTTGTAATTCATCCATCTTCAGGTGGTCATAGGCCAGCAACTTGCTGGTGACGCTCTTGTTCAGGGTGGACAGGGTCAGGTATGGGTCAAAGTGGCTGCACTCGGGCTCTCTTGACCTTTCTTTTCTGACCTATCTGCCTACATTAGTATAAAGGAAAGGGCATAGAGCTTCTTCCATGCCTTCCCCGGGCACACCACCTTCCAGAAACCTCCAAGTATTTAGCTGTCTGAAAGCTTCCTGAACCTTGTCCCTTTGGGTTTCTTACGGAGAGTTCATTACGTAGGCATGACTGATTAAACCATTGGCCACTGGTGATCAACTCAATCTTTACCCTCTCTCCCTGCCCTGGCCCTAGAGCTCTGGGTTGTGGGGTTGAAAGTCTCAACTCTCTAATCATGCCTTGGTCTCTGTGGTGACAAGTCCCCACTCTGAAGCTACCTAGAGGTTGTCAGCCACCAGTCAACCCATTAGCATACAAAAGGATGCTCTTCACTCCTGAGATTCCAAGGGTTTTAGGCACTGTGTGTCAGGAAATTGGGTTGAAGAACAAATATATAAAGTCATGCACCCTATATAACAAGGTGGTCCCATGAGATTATAACACCATATTTTTACTGTATCTAAGTTTAGTTACACAAATATTTACCATTGTGTTATAATTGCCTACAGGATCCAGTACAATAACATGCTGCCCAGGTTTATAGCTTAGGAGCAATAGGTTATACCATATAGCCTAGGTGTATAGTAGGTTATGCCATCTAAGTTTGTGTAAGTACACTCTATTACATTTGTATGATGATGAAATTACCTAACCATGCATTTCTCAGAAAATATCCCCATTGTTATGGGACACATGACTATATTTCACAAGATCACAGAACAGACTTGGGTTTCTTTAGAAATGATGTTCCCTCAAAAATTTAATCAGTTTCTAGTTATTTTGCTTTCAATTAGTATTTTTTTTTTTGCATAACTAATCATAGTGAAAAGCTTTGCCTGGACACATTTTTAATAATAGATCTGGTTATTTTAATAGATACCAAATTATTTATCTTTTCTATTTGCTTTTCTTTTCAGTTTTGTAAGGTATGTCCTCTGAAGATTGGTGCAGCCACCCAAAATATAACATTTGCACCTCAGACTTCAAGCAGAATTTAAATTCCCTGCCTGCCAAAATAGGTTTAAGCAACTTTCACCAAAGTACAGAAGGCAGGCAGGGAGATGACAAAGAAAAATGATATGAAAGTGCTCAGAAAAAGAAATACAAGGAAGCGAAAGCATTGCAAACTACAGAAATTTAAGCCTACCTAACCAAGTCCAGGCTCATCCCACCTGCTGCAGGACAGCCAGCAAGGTGAGAGACAAGGTGTTGGGGCAAAGAAAGTGACTTGTACGCAGAAAGCCAACAAACCAAGAAGGTGGTGGACCAATGTCCTAAAGAACCATCGTAAGTTAGTATGAACTTTAGGCTCCTTCTTATATTAAGGGAAGCAGGAAGGGGAGGGAAGTTGCATGAGGTAACTGAAGACCACAGACATCTGGGCATCTGCAAGGGTCCAAGGAGGTTGTAAAACTTCTTTGTTTATGCTCAGTTAACTTTGGAGGACATAGGTCAGGTCCTGATTGTTCCTATAAATCTTTAATATAACATTGTTATTTGTGTGCGTACTTTGCTTATCTGTCCAGAAATTAGTTTTGAGAAACAGATGGTTATCATCTTTCTTTAGAGTTAAACTGCAAGCTAATTTCTTCCTTTAATTAGCTGGCCTACCTGCAGAGCTAAGTGGAAGCTTTTAACCTAAAGGATATTACCACACAGGATCAGAAGCAAAATGGAGCCAGTCATGCTAAGTTCCCCTTCTACTGTTATTCTTCAGAACACATTAGAGAAATGCAGAGCCTTCTAAGGAAATTGATTGTGATAGGTAGAATAATACCCCCTCCAAAGACGTCCATGTCCTATTATTTAGAACCTGTAAATATGTGTGTTATATGGGAAGGAAGAATTAAGGTTGCAGATAGGATTAAGTTTGCTACTCTGCTGACCTTGACAGGGGGAGATTATCTTGTATTATGCTGGTGGGAGTCCTTAAATAGGGAAAAGAAAAACAGAAGGGTCAGAAGCAGAGATGGCTTCATGCAAATGACTCTACTCGCCATTGCTTGCTTTGAAAATGAGAGAAGAAGCATGAGCCAAGGAATGCAGGTAGATACCAAAGACCGGAAAAGGCAAGAGAGCACATTCTCCCCTGGAACTTCCAGAAAGCAACTCAGAACTGCTTACACCTTGATTTTTTAGCCCAGTGAGACCCATTTTGAACTTCTGACATCCAGAACCATAGATAATAAATTTGTGTAGCTTTAAGCTGCTAAGTTTATGATTATTTGTTACAGCAGCAAAGGGAAACGAATGCATTGATCTAGAAAGACTCAATAACTGGAATGAACTTTGAGTATTTGCAGATTTAAGGCAAGAAGCAGACTTCCCAGTAGAGATAGAGTGGAATAAAAGCAGTATAGGATGCATTGGCAGGGGTAAACTTAAGACCAGAGCAGAGGCAAGCCTCTCTTGTAAGGAGTTATCGGTTTCTTAGAGACAGTTGTGTGGTGACTTGTTTCTTCTAAGGTTTTTTGGTATGTGTGCATAATGTTGATAGTTTTTTTTTTAATTTAAATTCTATAATTAATAAACAAATGCTGATACATTATTAGGAACTATTATCCACAATTTATCTATATTTCTTTAGTTTCTGCCTAATGTCAAGGATTCCATGCAGGATACTACATTCCATTTAGTGGGCATGACTCCTTAGGCTCTTCTCTGTGACAGTTTTTCAGATATTCCTTGTTTTTGACGACCTTGACTCTGTATGAAGGAGCACTGATCATAAATGCTATAGAATGCTCTCCATTAGAATGTATCTGATGTTTTCTTCATGATTAGACTGGGGTTATGGGTTTTAGGAGGAAGGCCAAGAAAATAAAGTGCCATTTTCATCACATCCTATCAAGGGTATATTCTTTCAGCATTACTTGCTGTGACGTTGCCTTGATCACCTGGAGGCAGGGGTAGCGCTTGTCAGGTTTCTCCACCGCAAAGATATTCTTTTGTCCTTGTTTTCTTTCTTTGCTCTCTGGAAGAAAGTCACTGTGCAGAGCTCACCCTTACGGAGTGAGGAATTACGCCTTCCCTCCATAGGGTGAAGTATCCACACAAATCATGCGAAGTTCTTCTGCACAAGATATCTGCCCATTTTTCCCTATTTATTAATTTATTCAATCATTTATTTATATCAGTATGGAATCATAAGTATTTGTTTTCTACTTTGGATTATATTTCAATGCTACTTTAAGCAGGAAATAAATTTTAATTAAGAGAGATGGCGAATCAAGTCCCTTAGACAGAAAACTATTTTATTTATTTTTGGCTACGTGTTATAAATCACTTTCTCTCCACCTGGAAGAGAAGCCAAAGATATTGCATATTAACCACCCAGGAAACTAAACAAAGAACAAGGCTTCTAAGTAATTGGGCTGAAACAAATTTCCAATAAGGCAACAATTTAACTGTTTGATTATAGGAGGCAAATTTCCCCTGTTGTGTTATCTTGTCTTCAATGCAAAAAAGGATCAGATCATTGTTACTGTGAAATTGTCTTATTATTCACCTCAAATTTGAAAATGCTTAGATGATTGTGAGAAGTAATAAAATATGACAAGGACAGAAGGTAATGATTGTTCTTACTGCTATTATTTTCCAATGTAACTAAACTTTAATAAATGTAATGGGATTTCAAAAAATTTTTTCTCAGTCAAAATTTTACTTCATTTTCCCCTGACTCTGTAAAAACCTCGGTACAATTTTTAGTATTCAATGTGGCAGCTTGATAGTTGTCTCCCTATAGCAAAAATTAAAAGGAAGTATAAATAAAATATTTTCTGACATATTTAGAACCAACACATAATGAATAATTTTGTTTATACAAATCGAGTTTGTGGCAAGTCACATAGGCAGTAATGAGAAACCAGAATGAAGATGGTGCAAACAATGAGGAAAGATAATAACTATGGCAGAAATTCCAAGAAGCTGACAGACAAAGGCAGTTCTGGCTCTCTAAGTCTGGAAAAGGACTAGATTTCAGGTTCCCAAGACTTGTGAGGTTGACACTAACCTATGGGAAATTTTTTGAATAAATTATTGAATAAACAGATTGTGACCCATTAGAAAAAGAAAATAAATGTTGTTCCCTGGACTCTTATATGGATTCACTGAGAACAAGATGTTCTAAAATAACTATTTCTTTGCCAGTTAAGGTTAGGGTAGATTAGAGGTGTACCAAGGTGATCATATGACTTCATTGCAATATACCATTTGATAAAAAGTCCTTTTATAACCCTATGGTTAAGAAGATGATAGGTAGGTGGGAAGACAACAGTGTTCAACTAGATTAACCATGAGTTAAAGAAACCTACCAGCAGAAACTTTGTGTGATGGATCCTTCTCAACCTGTAGGAAGTCTTTAGCAAAGGGTCTTTCTTGGTCCTCACTTCTTGGTCCTGGGCCCTTTGCTATTTTCATTTTTGACTGAAGAAAAAGTAAAATCAATGAATGTTGACGTGCATCGGTGTTTGAATGGGTATCTCCTGTAGTACATGCTAAATCCAGAAGTCAAAATCATCACACCAAGGAGATTGAAACCAATAGCAGGATACTCACTAGGAATAAGGATAGTCCTGTATTTTATATAAAAATCAAAGACACAAATTCAAAATGGAGCTCTGACTTTGTAATAACACATTTTAAAAGAAATCTGACAGTTTGCTCGACAACAATTTAAAAAGAGGTCAATTGTATGAAGCGGTTAATCTGTCCCCCACCTACCTCCCCCACCTAAAAAAAAATGCCAATTTTATCATGATCTATGTCCGAGGGACAGAAAGTAAGGTTATTTTTAAAAAAGAAAAGAAAGTAAGATTATAGATCAATACTCTGTGCCCACTCCACTAACTGTATTACCTGTTCTCTTTTAATTTCTACATTTTAAGAAAAACATTTGCTCACTATAATATTCTCAGAGAAGGTGTAGTTGGAATCCTAAACACTGGAAACGAGATCATGTCAGGAACAACCCAAGGGAAGTAGAAGTTGTGTGTTTAGCACCAGTAGAAGATAATTAAAGGCAGATATAGGCTCATTGCCCTCAAAGCCTTGGAGAGCTGTAGGGTAGAAGAGGAAACAGACTTGCTCCATGCAGTTTCTTTAGGAAGCTAAGAGAAGTGAGGCTGTGTTTCAACATGCGGGAGAATCTCCCACCCACGAGAGCTGAGTAACGGGTGGCGATTGGGAGTATGGAATGGGGCTGGGGCCAGAGAAAGTGTGGCTGTGCTGAGCGGAAAGTGGGGCCGACAACTGATCTCTGAATTTCCCTCCAACTTTGGGATCCCCCAGCAAAGGTATTCAATACAGCTAAACCTATCTGTTGTGACTGCCCCACCCAATCCCACAAAAGAAGGACTCTAAGCCTGAATTGATTCCAAGAAGAGAAAACAGGCGATCTCTTGCCAGATCAACATTCAGCATATGGTTCCCAGATGTGCACAGGTGCCATGCACATTCTGTGGGACATGCTGGTCGCCTGAGTGCGGGGAACTTAAACTCTAATAGGGATGAACCTGGGGTAGAAGACTTTACCCTAAACGCAGCTACATTTCTAACAGAATTGATATCAACATCAACTCACCCTGCCCATGGAGACCATGGAAGACTGTATCAGTGGTTCTCTTAAGACCTCAGTTGCAAAGCTTCTTTTAAACACACTTTGCTCATATAAGCAGCTTGGGCTACTTCATTAGTTGTTGGTGTATGAAGCAGTTACCTAAATTTAGTAATACTAAATTCGGAATACACATACCTTTCTTGCCTTTGATCATGTATTATTCTCTCCCCAAAGAGCATTTATTCTCTTCACCATTATTTTTAACAACCCATCTTAATTATTGTATCTTCTTGGGAGTTATATTTGAAAAAGCTGAAGAAGTAATCCACTTAAGAGGTTTTTTTGTATGTATGTGTAAAGAATGAGGAAATATCTGGGAAAATCAGACTCTTTTTTTGATCCCTTGCTTCTGGGCACTTCAGGACTTAAAAACACACAGTCAGAGACTGCTTTGGTCTTCCTGGCATGCCCATCACGTTAATGCTCAGCTCAATGCTTCTCTTTCTGTCCAGAAAGGCATGTTGCCCGGGTAGAAAGAACTTAATCTTTTCAGTTTTATCCTAAAACCTCTTTTTCATTTAGATTCATTTTCATAACTGGCTGGAAAAAGCCACAGGCTCTGTCCTTGAGAAGCACATGGCCATCTGCTGCTTATCTGCCCCTAGGAAGGGGGAGCGAGCTGCCACCCTCGGGGGCTGGGATCCTGGCTCCATGCAGTGGCCGAGAAAAAGCCACCTGGTATGTGCAGGAAAAGCCCTGTCTCCATGGGAACAGACTCAAGCACTCACCATCTGGCCTCCCCCGGCGTTGGCACCTTGCTAACCACATCCTGAAGGCTACACAGGTGCAGAGGGGAGGAAGAGGGAGGGATAGAGCAACCATTCCCCTCCGCTGCCATGTTCAAACAAACGCATGTGAGTCCATGTGCGGAGGACCCAGTTTATTATTACTACTGCAGGTGTAGCTGGAAGCAGAAGCTTTGTTCTCCAGCCAGCAGCTCAGGGCCAGAACTACCAAACTCACTGCTTCTTGTTGAGTTATTCTTTAAAAAGTGATTCTTTCCCTAAAGCTCCTCTGTATCTGTTTCTATATCTCCGGAGTTTACAGGCTCCATTGAAAACACGAAAATCCCTTAGAGGGTTCACAGAAGAATCCTCGTAACTGCCTAACTGAGAGTCCTCCTTAGAACAGAGATCTTCTGCCATTCTTTCACTTGCCTCTGAACACGATCACTTTGCCCTCTCTGCAATGACACCTTGCACTCTCAAATGAGACCACAAGTTCATGCGTGGTCCTGATTTCAGAAATGAAATCACCACTGATCTGTAAGAGATGCTTTTGTAACCTCTAAAAAGAACAAAGAGATAAACAAACAATTGCTTAGTCATTTCATATGTTTTTCTCACCCTAAATATTAAAATGTTTATTGAACACCCAGTTTCCTGCTAAATAGTTGTTTCCAGTGGCACTTTATCCTCACGACTGTCACAATATATCATAACAAGCCAACATGAGATGGTTTGAGCCACTTTTCTCATTTTCCTCCCTGGAATATCAAATTCATGGCTGTGGGGAGCAAAAGAAGGAAGCTGAGGGATTCTGAGAACAAAAATGTCTCCCAAGGATGTCATCATTTAAATTTTCCTCTAATGAGGTACATTTTGATTGCTGCTAATATTTTAATATACCACTGTTTGCGGAATCAATGAAGTTTCCTAATCCTCTGGGCCTAAAGAATATTGAGATTTTTCAGAATTCAGAGCACACCATGGGATCTTAAAAGTAAATCATTAGATTTGCACTGGCTCACTTAATCAGCCTGCCTGCTCCTAAATTACAGTCTTCAATTGAGTAGAGAATGAAACTTGGCACCTTCAACTAAGAGGACAAGATCAATACACTCAATATTTGCTTGCTACAGTCTTTCAGTCCACTGAAAATTATACCTATTTACCTTCTGGTTTCTTATTTCTCTTTCAAGTTGAACTAAATTTATGTAAAAATTAGAATGGCTAGTTCTCTTGCAGTTCCTACTATGCTATCACTAAAGAGAAACTGGAACATTTGCCCACAGCTCGACCATGACATTGTAGGACAGCCCAAAGGCATGTCAGTCTCTAATCTCTGCTAATGCAATGTGCATTTGCTGCAGTAATAGTGTCGTCTTCTTTACCCTTACAGGAAATTTTTAATTAAACAATGAAAGGTTTATCTAGGAAATTTACCATTTTGTCCAACATTCTAAAGGGACTGCTAAAAATTAAGCACAAAAGAAAGTCTTTATCTCTTTAACCCTCAGTCCCAAGAACCATGGCACAACTGGAAAGAAACACAAGTGTCTATAAACACACACACACACACACACACACACACACACACACACACACACACAGGGTTCAGGGCATTATAGCTGGCTAATGGGAGGCTCAGCTTTGCTACAGTAAATACTACCCCCAACCCCCATTGCTGATCTCTGCAGTGGAATCCACTCATTTGCAAGGGGCTTTGCTTGCAACTAGGGCAGAAGGAAGAGTTTAGTGAAGAGTAAGTCTCAGGGGGAGAGGAAGAATGGTGACAATAGAGGGGACAAGATCCATGGCATCTGTACTCTCCCTTTGGGCTGCATTTCAGCAACTATAATTAAAAGTATGAGCCACAGAGGTAAGTGACCTGTTTACATGAGAGATTTTTTTTGAAATTCTGGGCAAGAGATGTGATGGATGGAACTGTTCTCCTAGGTAGATTATTTAAGGCTCCAGGTATAGGAACTGTTGCATGGGTCTATATAACATAAAGCATGGCATGGAGACGGGAAGAGGGCATTTCTCTCCATCTTCACATAGAACTCAGAAGTGGTCCAGCACCCCAAGGGCTGGCCATTTGGCCAGCATCATGAGATCATTTTCTTGGCTGCTCTTAATTGGAACCTCCAACAGGAGCTATGGTGAGAAAATGTCAAGCACATTCAAAGGTGGCAGACAGGGAGCAGAAACACCTTTCATGCTTCATAGTGGCTGCAGGATACAGTCTAGTTTGAGATGCTAGAAACAGTTAACTAAGACTCATTTGGAAGATGATCTTGAGTTACTAAACAGACAAAAGTTTGCCATCATTGTGATTTTTCCATAAATGTATATGGCCCAGTGAGGCCAGGGAATACTTAGGAGGTATACTTCCACACACCCATGCAGACACACAGCTGCACAGACCTATAAAGATATATTCACATTTTCAAGCCAGCGTTCATTGACAAGTTCATTCTGAGTGGTTATTTTATGTACATCATCATACTAGGAATTTCAGAGAATATATGAAAAGTTGAAAATTGACTTCTGGGTCAATATAGCAAATAGATTATGAGTGTTTCTGTCCTTGCCCTACCAAAGCCCTGCTGAAATGAAGTGAACAAAAATTGTCAAAATTATTATTCCCAAAAAGCAAAAATAATAGGAGAGGTGACAGAAGCAGATGAAAGACTTGAACTTCTTTTTGGAATTTGGAAAGAGGGTGGATGATTGGAGATGAGTAAGGTACATGTCAGTCCTTTCAGGGGAGAGGTCCAAGTGGGGTTGTGGGGGTCCTAGGATTTCCTGGAGGCTGATCAGCTGGAGGTGCCACCAAGGGCATGAGAGGCTAGAAACAGGGGACTTGGGTTGTACCGAGAGCTGTTCCCGTCCCTGCCCCCTGCACCGGATCCCACCATGAAGAGTCTTCCATCTTCTTCCCTGCAAGGGTAAAGAGGCTTATTTTCTAGAAAAACGTAGCTGGGACTCTGTGACACTGGGTGGAGAGGGTTGTAGGGTGAGGCTTCGGGTGAAACGGAGAGAACTTCAACTTATTTCCTCTCACTTTGCTCCATGACAACACA